GGCTTCCAATTGTGAATATGGATCTTTTACAACTCAGAATTGTCTTTCTCAAGGACCTAACAACCGCTGTTTTGAAATCTAGTCGTCAGAAAGAATAGGGCCTGTCTTCCTGTCTGTGTGGGAGGATAGAATCCTAACTCCAACTACTAGCCAGCAGATATAGCTGGCCTAATCATATTTACATTGACCAACCCCTTGTAATTTTTCATTTCTCTGATTCTACTGAGCTCCTGCCTTCCATCCTCCTTCATTCTCCATTTAAAATACCCATGTCTCCTCTGCACAAATTGGAATGGAGCTCAGCTCTTTCACCTACAGTCAGTAGTTACTGAATAAAATATGTTTTCATTGCTTTGATGTCCAGCTGTTTTTATTTTTGAAAACTCCACGAGGGAGAGCTCACCATTCACTGGGCTTGCCTGCAAGCCTGTGCAAAGGTTTCTCTTGGGATCCAGGAGCCCCTTTCACTGATCTTCCAGGGCTGCACACAGCATAGCCTGCTAGGCTGAGAGAGATAAATGGAGAAAGCCTCTACTGCATAATCAAATTTCCTCTTCGAGAAGATTTGAATTTTAATAGTTAGATATACACGTTTGGGCACATGAGCATATACCTCTGGCAAGACAGGGTGGGGCTTTTAACAATCTCCTACTTAACAGGACTTTGCACAACCTGCTTGCTTTCCAACCCTTAACTGAATCAAATTTAGGGAAGAAAGGTTTTTATCAGAGACAGAGGCAATCAGGAGGAAGAGGGAGAAGTGACTTGGAAGCATGGGGCAGTCCAGGGACAGGGGTAAAGGCATGGTTGAGTACTGCAAGGGGGTTAGAGACAGCCAGAAAGCAGCTACTGGGGGGCAGTGGGATGGAAGGAAAAAGAACTGAGAGGTATAAAAGATGGGAACATAAAAAGATATGGAAGATGATGGGTTTGCTTTTCTCCTTTTTTCTTTCTGGCTCAGTCCTGCTCTTCACCTTCCTTCCAAAAACTGAAAGTAAAGTATCTTTGTACTGTAGTTTCTTTACCCTACTCTCAGCCAAGGAAAGCTATTTATTGTTTTACTTCTTCTCTTCCAATTATTCTGGCCTTACAAAATAGAAATCAAAGGAGAGGGGCAGAAAATCAGTCATTATCTTTGGATCTCAATTTAACCATGAGAGTTTGGACTGGGTTCATAGTTCAGTAAATGTTTATTAAGTTAGCACTATCTATTTGATAGGGAAACGTCATATTACTCTCCCGGAGCTTATGATCTAGAAAAAGATATTTGATAAACAAATATATTAAAATGTAACATAAGATAGAGAAAAAAGAGTACTATTTGATAGGGTTGTCAGGAAAGGCTTCAATGAGCAGGCGGCAGTTGAGCAGGAATATGAATGAAGTGAGGGAGCAAGCCATGAGGAAAGAGCATTCCAGGCAGAGGGAACAGTAAGTGCAACCTTGGCATGGGGACATGTAAGTGTGCTTGGCTATAGCAAGGAGCACACAGTAGATGATTTCAAGTAATTCAGTGCCAAATCATGTAGGGACTTGTAGGTCATGGTAAGGACTCTGGATGTTTTTCTAAACATGATGAAAAATCACTGTATTTTTGAGAGCAGAATATGACATGTTATTACAAGTAAAAATAATGACTAATATTTACATAGTGCTCTATATGTGCCAGTCTGTGCTCTAAGTATTTTACTTATTATTAGTTCATTTAATTTTTTAACAACCCTATGATGCAGATGTTATTATTAGTAGCAGTATTATTTTGCCGCTAATGAAACTGCGACACAAAGAAGTAACTTGATCGGGTTATATTAATACATTATAGAGTTTGAACTTGAACCCAGGCATTCTGGCTCCAAGGTCCTTTGCCCTCAATCACTAGTCCATATTTATTCTGATTTCCATTTAGGAGGATCACTGTGAAGTGTGAGAAAAGACTCTGGAGGTAGGAGTTTAAGCAGGGGGACCAGTGTGGGAGGAGAGGACAGTGACTTGGACTGTGGTGCTTGTGGTGGAGAAAAGAAATAGTGTCAGATTTGAGATGTGATTTGAATGCAGAGGAAGCAGAAGGTTTGCTAATGGATTGCCTATGAGCCATGAGGGAAAGCCAGGAATCAATGAGGAATCTAATTTTTTGGCTTAAGCAAATGGGTAAAAGATGGTGTTTCTTACAAAACTGGGAAAACTGGGGGAGGAGGTGGATTGGTGAGGGGCACAAATGAAGTTTGTTTTGAATAAGTAATGTGTGGAAGCCTCTAATAAGAGATGTGAGGGAGGCAACAGGGTAAACAGAGTCTGGGCTTTGGACTGTAATTTTAAATTTGCAGGTTATTTCCATAAAGATGTTTGAGAAAGCTATGTGTCTGAACAAGATCACCTAGGGAGGGTTTATACATATGCCATATCCTGGGGCATTCTAACCTTCAGAGATCATAAAGACGTAAAGGATCCAAAAAGAGTCTGGGAAGGAGCAGAATATAAATCAATGGACTAGAAGTCACGTAAGAAGGAGTTTGAAGGAGAAACTTACCAACTGTGTATAATGAAGCTACTAGGTCAAGTAAGATGAAGACCAAGAATTGACCATTGAATTTAGCAGAGTGGAGATCCTTAGATACCTTGGCTACAGTGTGTGAGGGACAAAGGGCTGATTGGATTGGCTTCAAGGGAGTAGCAAGATTTTGAGGCTCCCTTATAGCTAATGCAAAATGATTAAGGATAACCTGAAAACAGAGGTGGAGGACAGGAGCAAAGGGAAGAAGAGAGTAATAAGCACTTTTACAAATACTTTAATCAATTTAAAAACATTTTATTGAGCATCTTCTACACACCCAACACTGTCAGGCACTGACACCAGTAAGTTTGCAACCTCATTCATTCATTCATTTAGGGGACAATTGTTCATTGACTGCCTAGTAAATGAGTTTAAAATATTTTTTTGTTACAATGTTTTGATATTAAAGCAAATTTAAAAAAGAAAAAGTATATTTACACTCCCATACTCTTAACACATTATAATTCTCCACCTTCCTTTTAATTACTGCTGTCCATGTTCCCATAAATTTTATACAACCTTATTAATTACATTGTAAGCCTTTTCCTTTGTAGACATATTTTCATAGTATATTAATTATGACAGTAGAGATTTTATTGTATGAATATACAGCATTAGTTTTCTAATAATTTTTATTCTCAACCATTTATGTTGTCTTCAAATTATAATGTATAATATTAAAATGATTGGTCTAGATGCCTGCCATCCTCATGAAGTTATGAGCAGCCTGTCAACTTCCAGTACTATATCGATTCAATTTTGGATCACCAGCATGTGCCTGACACACAGTCATGACTTCTCGGAAGCACATGAGACTACATGATAGCTAAGAGACTGTGTTATATAGGTTAAGAACAAAAAAACTGACTTCCTCAGTTCTCATCTTGCATTCTCTATTTGTAGGCTTGTAGCCTTAGGCAAGATACAACTTTTCTGAATCTCATCTATAAACTGGAGATTACAATATTGCCTATAGGTTATTGTGATAATTGAATAAGCTAATATATGCAAAGTGCCCACCACTTTGTAAGCTCCTATGCAAGTGCTTGAGAAGTATATAATGACAATAAAAAAAAGTTGATAGCCTGCTTAGTGAATAATAAATCAAAGAACAGTTTTATTTCTGCTTCATACAACTAACTTTAGAAATTCTTTCAGATTATTCTCCTTTGGGTTCAGTAATAATGTTGTGAGCATGTATTTTGTGCCAGAAAGCCAGAGGCAGTAATTTGTAAGGGTTACTTTTCATGAGTGATATTAATAAATGAAATAACATGAACATTTCTACAACTTTGATTATACTGTCATTTTTCTTTGAGGAGTTAAGCTCCTTGAAGGCAGAGACAGTGCCTGAGTATTGCCCTGTTGTCAGTCTTAGCAGTTGTATAGAGACTGACACCTGCTAGTTTCACCTACTAGTTCACCTAGACCCTTTTCTTTTTTTAACTCTTTTTTTCTCAGTTGCTTTACCTGGATCTCAATTTCTTGGATAAATAAATTAGAAATATTTAATTAGGTAATTCTAAGAGTGGAAGAAAAATAAAGGTGGTAGTGGGCAAGGAATATGTGAAGAGACAAGTCAACTGGGTAGATTGCCTTTATTAGGGAATCTCAGCAATGGGGTCAAGTGATGAAGGACCTTGTCAGTCAATAAGAAGTCCCTATGGACTACCAACAGGGAACAACAGACGGTTCTTGAACAAAGGAGTTTAAGCATTATAAAGCTTCTCAAGATGATTTTACAGACCACCACCAAGAGTGAAGGAGGGCACCTGAGGGCACTTCTAAAAACCTGGAAGAATGGGAAAGAATGAAAAGCAAATAATTCTTTGGGGATTCTTTTCTTCTATGATTATTATTTTATTTATTCATCCATTCATTCAATATATATGTATTGAATGCCTACTTTGTGCCAGGCACTGTACTAGGTAGTAGTCATACACCAGTGGAAAACAGAGATTCAGCCTTACTGTCATGATCAGCTGTTTGTTCGACTGTCACTTGTAGTGGAGCAAAGGCTCCTGACTACCGAGATCGAGTTTTTCTTCCTGTCGCGCTCCATGCTTGGCACAAGGTGGACGGACTCGCGAGTTCTGTGGCCTGAATTGATTCACGGCTCAGTGCAGCACGATGGCTAAATACACAGAGCCGGAAAGAAAAGACCGTGGCATCGATCTCGCCTGATGACCAGAATCCTGCAATGAGCACATGTGTGGGTCTCTGTGCACAGCGGGGAGGCGTATCTGCCCAGAGCTCCTGGCAGCGTGCCAAGCTGCAGGACCAACACCCCGCCTTCTTTCGTTGTGCGTCCCAGGCAGCCCCGGCGGCGGCCGGGCGCGGAAGCGGCGGAGCGCAGCCTCGCCACCACCCGCAGGCCTGCCCCGCGCGGCTCCTCCTCGCCATGGGTGGGGCTGCCCTCGGTGCCGCCCCTGGAAGCCTAGGCGGTGGGCGGGGCCGGGGCATCGCGGCGGCCGCCAATCGCGCCGCGCCGGGGGAGGAGCCCCGAAGGGGGAAAAAGAAAGTGCGGCGGAAAGTAAGAGGCTCGTTGGGGGCAGACTGGCCGGGTCAGGGTCCCTGGGGCTCCGTTTTGGGAAGAAGCGGTGCTGGGCGATTTGCACCCATCCCTGCCCCTTTCGCTGCGCCCGCTCAGCTTCCCAAGAAAGGTGAGTCTCGCGCTGTCTTGAGAGCTCGGAGGAATCCCCTATCGCAGAATATCAGGGTGGAAGGATTCTTACAAATTGTTCAACCCTCTTAAATTCCAGAGAAGCAAACAGGCACAGAGCGAGGGAGCGGCTGGGATAGGTCACTTAGTGAGTTAGTGCCGTGGCCAGGACTCGAACCCAGCTGTCTAGGTCCCCTTCTTTGCCTAATTAACGCAGTTTGGAGACAGCTTCGCGTTGCTGCTCCCCACTTCCAGCCCTTCAGGGGAGCTACCTTGGTGTCCCCCGCCTTGGTTTCTCCAGAGCGCTGCTGTGGACTGCGAGGATTGAAGAGGGCAGTGTGACCCAGCGTGCATCACGCCGCCCCAAGTCGGGGGCTGTCCGCTTGGGCAAAGGCTGTGGCAGCTTCGCCCCCTCCTCGCCGACATGCTTTCTCCGAAAGATGCCCCTGCCGAGGGTGTCGGTGAGGCGGTGGGGGTGCGGGTGACTTCCTAGGGTACCCACAGCTCTCTCTGCAGCCCGGGAGGAAGCGGGGCTTGTGGCCCTGGGTGCGGTAGGATGCCCCTCAAGTGGGAGCAGCTGACTTCATGGAGCCGCAGGCCCTCTCACTTCTGAGTATGGAGGGAATGAGGAAGGGGAGTTAAAGAGGAAAATCACGAACCAAAGCAAACTTCTGCCGTTTCCTTTAAGAGTGAGTCCCCAGCCTGTCTTCCCTACACCCTGGTGGGGAAATTGTGATCCGCGCGGCGCCGCCGCTCCTGCGTTTTGCTGCTCTGCTCCGCAGGTCCTCGGGTTCGCTACCGGCAGAGGAGGAGAATTTACCTGGTTTTTGACTCCAGCTCTGCTATGTGAACTGAGGCGAGTTATCTGCTATGTGAACTGGAGATTATAATGGGCACAACGAGATCTTCTGGTAGTTGGGAGAATGAAATAGGATAATGAAATAACGTGGTTAGCATAGTGCCTGGCACCTGCTCGTTTTGAGATTGATGGCAACTATTGTAAATTTTCTTCTATAGTAACCGTGGAGACAGCGGGTTTTCAGAAAGGTGATTTTATACTACCTTTAGAGTGACTTTTTAAAAAAAAATAAATCCGTAATGTGCTATTTTCTTCTTTGGAGTTTAAACAGCTCTTTTATAGTAAATGTTTTCTGAATGCTGTCTATTCGTGATATCAATCATGGGTGCTTGACTTGGAATAGAAGATTAATGTTTCTCAGTGATGCCAATTCCCTCGTAGATTTTAGGCCAAGCCTCAGGTCTGTGAAGGTCTGACCTGAGGTATCGTTTATTGGCAGAGGGTCTTGAATTTGAGGAGAGGTAGGAAGACAGGAAAAGTTGGGAGTTCTGATACGTTAACACACTGTTCTAAGCATTTTATTCCTGCTCTTTTATGTCAGGCAAGTGACTTTATGTTTTGTGTTAGTATAGGAAAACAAAATTCTCATGTATTTCTTTTGGATTATGCAGTAAGTAAACTCAGTCCCTTCTGGACACAAACTAACCCTCTCTGCACAGAAACACCGTGCCTACACTAGCTTTCCTTCATTATTGGTATTTTAAAATGTGGTAGCGTCCCTCACATATCCCTACCCTGCTCAGAACAATTGATTCTGTTCTGATTGACTTCATGAACTACTCACTACTATCTCCTGGCTCTGCTATAAGTCCCTGAATTGTGCATCCAGCATTTATAGTTGGCTGCCTGCTTCACAGTCCCTCCCATTTGTGTGTGATTCTGATGAATGCCTGGGAGTGGGTGGGGGTGTGACACACAGTGAGGGAAGGGAAGAGCTTGGTGGTGCCCCTTTAGGTACCTTCTGCACCAAGCATTTGCAGAGGATGGGGTCACTTGCTTCTGTCAGCCTGTTCCGTGTGTCTGCATGATGATGAGCTGGCCAGGATGCATCTGAATGCGTGCCTGAGAGACCGGGGACTTGTGGGGAAAACAAAAATGTTCAAAATAAGGTCAGAACAAGGGGATGGAAGGGAGATTGAAGGCTAATTCCTTTTGGTTATGGTTCTTTAAGGAAAGGATGCCCAATTATACCTTTTCTACTTACCCAGATTATTTGTTACCAAAATTGTAACTATCTATCTATATATATGATTTACATATATATGTGTGTAACTTTAAAATTTCCAAAATGTATTCCATATATATTATTTTATTGCTACTTGTAATAGTCCTGAGAGGATATAGCAGGCATATTCATAGTGAAAGGAGCCCAGGTTTTGTGATCAAATTCAAATTTCAGTTCTAATTCCTATGTTGTTAGGTGACACTGAGCAATTTATTTCACCATTTAGACCTCTATTTTATGCATTTCTAAAAATGAAAAAAAATGCTTACCCCAAGGATTTGTGTGAGGATTAAATTAAGTGGACTAATGTTAAGTATATGTAGTGAATAGGTGCTCATTAAATGATAGGTCTTCTTAGCTAGTCTCAATTTATGGGGACTTTATTGAGAAAGAAACTGAGGGAGTCTCAGAGAAATGAGAAGTTGCCAAGGGTCATGTGGTTATTAAGTTTCTGCCCTGGAAACACAGTTCACACCTTTTGACTTGAAGTTAAGGACTTTTCCCATCATACCCTGTCACCTCTCTAATGAGTGTTTTAATAATTTGCTTCAGTTGTTAGGCTGGAGATTACAGGGTATCCTTTCTGTCCCAGAGAGGATATTTCTTTGGTAAGGGTACAATCCTTAAACATGCTCTGTGGAGTTTAGTGGGGCTGACTCCCAGAAGAGGGAGATTCAAGTAATGATCTCCAAGGCAGCCATCCTGCACTTCCTCAGTTCCTAGGAGGAAGGGTACTGTGAAGTTCAGACATAAAGTTCAGAATTATGTCACTTTTTTCTTCCTGTTCTAAGCATTTTTTTCCATCTGCCATCTTTGTGCTAATTTGCAGGGTGGCATGTAGAGTAGTGTGCAGATGGAGCATTTGCAGAAAAGACCCCTAGCCTGCTGGCGGTGCTGGACTTTCATTCCTCCTCGTGGAAACTCATGGCTGCAAGCTTACATAGGAAAATGAACAGATCTGTTTCTGGCCATTTATCCATTGAGACTTCACACAGGCCATCAGGTTTCTCGGTTTTGCAGCAGGCAGACAGGCTTGCAAATGCAGTTCTGGGATAAACGTTCTGCTCCTTGCTTTTAACATTTGGAAGCCTGTGTTTGCCTTTGCCAAAAGGTAGGCAGTCAGCATGATCTTACCTGGCACAGCTGGGAAAGCAGAATATAGCTGGAGGAAATCAGAGGATGAGGCAAAACCAAAAAATAATAATAATAAAGGTTATCTCCAGCATGCACACAACTTCATTTGTTGCTCAACTTTGTCAGGCTTTTGCTGGTGACACAGATGTAGGGTTGGTGAGTCACTGTCGCCTTGCCCATGAAATATTAAAAAGAGCCATCTCCTGTGTTCTTTGCCCACTTTGTCAATTGTTCTATGTGAAAAATAAAAATCCTGAAGAACTGGAAAGTTACAGAACATTTGCTGTCTAATATTTTGGAGGGATTAATTTAGGTGAGCTCTCTCAATAGCTCAGTTTTTAATTTTTTTTTTTCCTATTTTGAAAGTGACAATGCATGGCTTACACTGACAGGGTTGTTTGGAGACCTCTTTCTAGCCGGACTTTATTCTGACTAACTGGCAGCTGTAGCAGTGTGGAATTTTAGAGTCTCACAGGTATCTGCAGCATGTTGCTGTATTGAGATGAGCCTCAATCTCCTCAGCTTGGAAATAGGAACACTGATGCCTACATAGAAGCTTGAGTCCCCATCTCAGCACCTTTTTCATAAGCAGCATTTAATAAATATCTTCTGCTATCAGTTATTTCAATTTATTAGTCTGTTAAATTGTGAAAATCAAAATTGAATAGCTGCTCTTTACTGAACTCCGTCATGACTGGTACTTACATGAGAGTCTTACATTGATTTCATTCCATCCGTGCAATCATCCTGGGTAATTTTTGAGGCAATTGAAGCTCAGAGAGGTTATGTAGCATGACCTGTGTCACATAGCACAAAGTACTGATACTAAGATGATCCACGCATTTCATTTCAGAGCTAGGAAGGGCTTGAAACTGCAACCTCTGGACTCGAACTAAAGACCTGGAGTGGGGCCTATGACCCACCCATCCCTGTCTTGCCATTTCAATCCTGGTATTATGTTTCTGAGACTGAGGAGCCTCTTAACCTCTGACCCTAAAATGTGAGGGCACTGGATGAGATGATCTCGAAAGTTCTTCTACAATATGGTTTATTTTTCTTTAAGATTCCTTTCAACTCTGATATTGTTTCACCATGTGTCTTTGTAAAACTCAAGGCTATAAGGAGAAAAAGGAATGAAAGAGAAAATACTATTATTTTATGCTAAAACATCTATTTTCTGGTCAAACAGCAGAGGGCAAGGGAACCAGCATTCATTGGTGCATCTGCTTCTGTCATTTCATTTAAGCATAAAAATAACTCTCAGGTATTTATTATTGTCTCCCTTTTACAGATGAAGGACTGAGATTCTGAACATTTAGAGACTTGTCCAAGTTTATGTAACTTGTGAGAATTAGAACTAATGTGTGCCTGACTGCAAAGCCTTTTGGTCTGCTACACCATATTGACTAGATACCACACCATAAAATCTGAGGACTTGTGCAGTTAGATTTGTAAATGTCCCTTCCCTTTGTCTTCATACCACACCACCTCAGCTGCTATCTCCTCTCTTCCTGTTTCCTTCCTAAACATGCTGCTCAAATCCTTTTTTGATTCTTCCCAGTCCAGGGAACTGCTTTAAGTGCTTACAGCATCTTCTTTCTATCTTCTATTGTGATTAAAAAAAAAATGTGGGTCAATAATTTGTCCTGTTGTGTTCTTGTTCAAGTCCCTGATTAGAACCTATGCAGCTGATGACACAATTTATTCTGCATGCCTAGCACAGTGCCTTGTACGTAAAAGATGGCAGAGTTAAATGGGTGATGGATTCATACTCTATCAGGTG